GAAGAAGAAGAAGAAGAAGAAGAAAAAGAAGAAGAAAAAAAGAAGAAGAAGAAGAAGAAAAAGAAGAAGAAAAAGAAGAAGAAGTAGTACTCTACAAGCTTTACAATTTACATTTTCCCCATGAACTTTCTTCCAACACTCTCAAAATCAATCATTAAAATAGATATTTACAACTGTCAAATTAATCAAAATGTCCAGCATCGTTAACCTTAACATATCGAGATGCTAAAACTGCAGCAACAACTGATCCAATGATGATCACAAAGGCAAAAATGTAAAATGATTCCTCGTCAAAGACATCCTGGAATGCGGGGATGTATGAAGACAATTTCTTTGCAACTTCCCTTGCAGCATTACCTTTATCACGCATTTTAAGGATGAGTTGAGGGTGCTAACTTGGTTCCTTGTCACGGTATCTACTGTAAGGATGAGGTTAAGGTGCTGGTTAGGTTCCTCGTCAATGTATCTACAGCAAGAATAAGATTAGTGCATCGCAGAGGTTCTTGACGATGTACCTATTTTAAGGATGAGTTTAGGGAACTGACGGGGTTCCTTCGTAATGTATCTGTTATAAGGATGAGCTGAGGGCACTGATGACATTCCTTGACAACGTATCTTGTGAGCCTGGCAACAGTGAACTATGCATTCAGCAATGTCTGCATCCAGGAAACGAAAGTTTCAACCAGCGCACCCTGATAGCTATGGAAAGAGAAATAACACATTTCAATAAACTTATTGTTATCATTATCTCAGTTGTCTGCCTTTAATCTTTCAATAGGACATAAGTCATTGACAGACTCATGCCGACCCCTGTCATGCAGTTACAATTTTATCCTAGATGAGTTAACCAACCCTCCAGTCACCTCTAGCAGTGTTACTATTCTGACAATTATAATGAACAATCCCGCACTGTGCAAACAAAAAGAGAATGCTATAAATCTAAACCTCCTTGGTAGTCACACGTGTAATCTTGAACTTTTGTTATTGAGATGCACAATATAGTGAGACAATGTAATAAATATTTTATTTCAGTGGAAATGATTCAGGTTTTGTACTTCAACATATGTCGATGTCAGTTAGCACCTTTACGTATTTCAAGAAGATACAGTTATATTGTGCCATTTACTATATTGTTAAATGTTGAATTAGGAATCGACATCACAGCACTCTGGACACTCCCATAAGTGCTCAGTTCCCATTTTCAGCAGCAAGCGAAGACTTCTAGTTTTGATGGTACCAGTAACCGTCTGATTGTATATCTGTATTAACCATCCCCTGAGTGTTGAGCATCGGCCAGATCACCTGGTAACTCCTCAAAAGGCCATTTTCCTTAGAACGTAATGAGCTATCTGCGTCTCCGCACGGTCTACTCGCTCCCGAAGGAAACTCACAATATCTAACTTGTCATACATCAATTCATCACCAATTGGTGCAGAGCCAGTCTATCAGCCTGCTCATTTTGCCTGCTATATTGTTGATGTAACTCAGTAGCAAATGCACCAAACAAGATATAGCAGGCAATAAATTGTACAATGTATTGTTGTGTGTCCACATTATTTAAATTATTAAAACAGTGATATAGTTAACAGATAAAATATGATGTGAAGTTATCTATGTTTTATACTTTTTGGAACTGGGGAAATCAAAACATCCAAGAGAAACAAAAAGGTGAGCATTGATGAGATGCCAGACGTGATGGACTTGATTCCATCTATTCCTCGTGTTGGTTCCGGGACCCGATTATGGAAAACAAAACAAAAAACAGACCTATGCCTGCCCAAAAACATGCTACAAGAGTCGACTAACTGGGAGCTTCCTTTGAAGTCAGAGTGCACCTGCGTGAGAGGCAAGAAACCAACAGTCTATATACAAATGAATTGGGACTGTAAACAAAGGTGCATGCAACACTCAGTTCTGGAACTGAACTAGAGGCCAGAAATGGATGAACAACCAGAACATTCCGCTGGAGTTTACAACCAGTGAACAAGAAGACGGACGAAGAAGACTACATCCATGATATGGAAATGATTGCACAGGAAAACACAGAATGGAGGAATAAGCTGTGAGCCCTATGTGATGTATAATAGTACAATAAGATTATAAATGACTACTTTTTAATAAAGGCTTAATTGAGTGATTCAGACCCCAGCTGACTGAGGGCATGTGCTCCTCTGGGGGATAACAGAAAGAAGACTCAAACAGCAGCAGCAATAGTCTTCTTCTTCTTCTTCTTCTTTGCATTTACCAGTTGCAAACTCCGGCGGAATGTTCTGGTTGTTTATCCACTTCTGGACTACAGTCCTGTTCCAGAACCTCAGTGTTGCGTGTGCATCCATTTTACAGATCTGACTAATGTGTAGACTGCTGGTTCGTTGCCTCTCAGGCAGATGTAATTTGACTTTGAAGGAAGCTCTTAATCAGTTGACCCTTACAACATGCTTTTGGGTAGGCAGTGGGTCTATTTATGTTTTCCCTATAACAGGCAGGGCCCCGGAACCCACATGGGGAAAGCAGCAATAGTAATGGTGAACATGGTTGTGGTAGTTGTATAAGAAAAAGAACATATAGTATTCTGCAAACTACTGTAAGATCAAGTCGATAATTATTAACATATCAAGGGTAACAGTTATTATAATATTGTGATAAAACATCCATGAATAGAATTTAAAACAAACGACATACTTGGATCAAGTAAGTATCGTTAATTGTGTGCCTATGGTCCACTGGGGGATAAAAGACAGAAAGGAGAATAATAATAATAGCAATGTTGAATTAGGAATCAAACCTTACAGCACTCTGGACACTCCCATAAGTGCTCAGTCCCCATCTTAGGAAGCAAGTAAAGAGTTTAAATTCCAATAGTATCAGTAACCCTCTGAATGTAAATCTATCTCATCCTTTCCTTGAGTGTTGAGCGTCGGCCAGATCCACTGGTAACTCCCCGCAGCGCTAATGATCTATCTGCAACACCGCAGTGTTTACTCGCTCCCAAAGAGCCCTCACAATATCTAACTTGTCATACATCAATTCACTAACAAGTAGTGCAGAGCCAGACAGTCTAGCTGCCTGCTCATTTCCCAACACACCGGCACAACCTGGAGAAAATATCCAAAGGATGCTAACTACCCAGGACCTCTGAAGTGATGTTTGCCACTCTGCATGAAGCATGCCTGTTTTCACCTTTCTCCACATCTTCTGTGAGTCAGTTACAATTATGGCATGGTGTGTACAGCTGATTCTCAAGCCAGTGGAAGCCAGCAGAGACTGTCTCCATCTCCATTCTCAAACTAGACGTGATATCATATGCAAGGCTTTGCTGCACTAAGCTACATCCATTCGCCTTTGCAATGAAACCCCATGCACTTCATCTGACCCTCAACATAGATCCGTCTGTATAGATAAACACATCATTATCATTAATATTATTAATAAACTACAGTACACTAAAACTAATACTAGTCTTCTTCTTGTGTGAGCAAACTTTGGGTCTTTTCTCCAGGCTATTCCAGTGTAGTGGGTAATGAATAGGCAGACAGCCTGGCTGGATCTGCACCACTGGGTGGTAAATTGATACATGACAAGGCAGATGTGTTCAAGGCCCTTTGGGAAAAAGCAACAGAATTAGTAGAGAAACAAGATTATTATGGCCTGGAGAGAATGAGGCACCTGGGTGGAACTAAAAGGTTTGGCTGGCTCACCACACTCAGAGGAAGGACAAGACGGACATTTAACCTGATTGTGACTGGTACCATCAGTACTGGAACTCTGCACTGGCTGCTGAAGATGAGGACAGAACACACATGGGAATGCCCAGAGTGCTGTAATGTCAATTCTTGACTCAACTTGTGTTCCATTCTGATTTACACCAACAGACAAGTTTTTGTGATAAACTTGACAGTTCTTAGGAGTTCCCTATTTTTGGACGCACAGACTGTTACTTGTCTTACTAATAGAACTGAAACTGTGTGCTTGCTGCTGAATATGGGAATGGAATGCTCATGGGAATGTCCTGACCCTTGAGTAGGTCAGAGGTATTCAACTAAGTTTACTCAGAGGCAAACATTTTAAAAATTAGGATCGGCACAGACTAGGGACCAAAAGCACAGCATGGAAAGGTGACTGATACAATTCAGCTGGGAATGATCAGCAAGCCACCTGCGAGGCCTCCCCGGGCCGCTAGCTGCATAGTCATGAAATAGGTTTATAATGCAAAGGAGGAAGAATGTTGAATGTTCAATTAAAAATAGACACTCCCATAAGTGCTATGTCCCAATCTTATCTTCACGCTGGAGATAATAAGACCCCTGGGCAGAGGGTCTGGCCGGCTGACTACACTCAGAGGAAAGGCATGATGGACATTTAACCAGATTTTGACCGGTACCCTAAGTATTGTAACTCTGCGCTGACTGCTGAAGATGAGGACGGAACATGCATGGGGGAATACCCCGAGTGCTGTGATGTCAATTCTTGACTCAACTAAATTCAGCTCAGCAAGCGACGAGTTCCACTTCCCAAGGAGGAAGAAAAAAGAAGACAGTAAATTGTGTCAATTATTGTGGGATCGAAGTGACAATCACCAAGAATAACAGATTTATCTTATAAAACAAAAACATGAATAAACTTACAAATTAAGACGCACTTAATACTTGTGTAAAGTTACCAAATCTCAACTTCAGAAATCTAAAAGTTAGCAAGCAGACGCCATAATACGTACAAATACTGTAAAAAGTTTGCTGCCAGAAACGACTCTAACCGCTACATCATCAAATGAAATAAATAAACAAACAAAAACTCAATTATTTAAAATAATAATCATTAAATTTAAAATATATTGTAATATAAAATAATAATATGATTTAATTAAATGAAAAATTAAGTCAACAAATTACTTTATATAACAATTTATGTTAAAAATAAAAAAATTTGACCAAAAATAAAGAAAAAGAAGAAACAACGAAACGAACTTCTAGCGGCAGTTTTGAGATTGTGTGAAACTAAAAATGCTTCCAAAGGATGTACGTATATAATTTTAGTTGGTAACTAAATTGTTTGTACCTCAAACTCTTCCTGATATCAGTTGGAGATTGGCGGGTCACATTGTGAATGTTTCGCGAGGGGAGAGGGGGTGGATATCTCAATCCCACTCAGTTAACTCAAAAAAACTGCTCTAACTCTATTCTATTATAAATATTACTATTAGTATTATTAATCATAATAGATTTAATTATTTTCCACTTATTTATAAGCGTGTTGCACTCTCGCTCAGTTAGAAAAAAAAGTAAAAAGCGACTTTAACTCTCTGAGTGCCAGGAGGTTTAACTTACCATCAGAGGCCCAAGGGGTGGTAACACATTAAAATAGACCATATTAATTTAATTGCCGCGCCGCAGCGGACAAATATTATTCTCTCAAAGTTACCAGGGATTTAAATAATGCGGATACAAAACATACATTTCTCATCAGGTGCGTTACTACAGACATTGTCTGAGACAACATAAAATAAAGCACAAAACTGAATAAATTCAACTGAAATGCAAATAATTTCTTCGATACATTGTCTCTGTTTCATGGCCGCTGGAAGCTCACCATAGTCACGAGACTTACCAGGGTAACTTCAAATTTACGATAAATTCCGTCTGCTTACAAAGGAGGGGGTTGTTGATTTTTACTGTTAAGGCTTCAGCGATTCTCAAAAGTCTCCTGTTCGGAGTGCGGTAAACCACACGGAAAGCAGTGTCTGTGTCAATTATGTGTCCGGAATTAAGTAGATAGTCCTATGACGTCCTATAGAAGAAGAATCGGTGTTTTGGGTATCCTCTTGACTGGTCTCAACTCCCTTGAAGAATCACTGAGCTGTGTATGTACCGATTTGGGTATGTGCTCTGCCACTTTGTTTCCAAGCTGTCTCTCCATTTGACCGATGTAAGTCAACTGGCACTTATATGTAAATTTGGGCTTAAATTTGTAAATATGCAATGTATTGTTTGTATCCGCATTATTTAAATTCATTACAGGAAAACATAGTTTTTGAATAACCAGGGATTGTTGAGAATAATAATAGAATAGTGATGTACAAGTAACGTTGATCTCCCCACACCCCGCCCATATACACACTAGCTCACTTCTGAATAATTGTTCTTGAACCTGTCACCTTGGCACAAGGTTATAGGGGTGTACTGCAGTGCCGTTGATATCGCGTTCTGTATATTTCAGGACTCAAAAAACATGGAGAAATTGGTCCTAACACAATCCCCCTAGAGAGTGCTGCCGCGTTTGTAACAGGCATTCTCTTTTTCGGAATGAAAACATAAATACAAGACAGAAAGCAAACAACAGAGCGGGACACACCCATAATCTTCAGGAAAGGCAACCAGCCCAGCAGACTTGTTAACTCTTTAAGACGTAACGCCAGTATACTGGCGAATAAATGTATCCCTAATGGACTTATCGCCAGTAAATTGGCGTGTGATAGAGACACTCTAATTTTGTTCCGTTTTGCGGGAAAAGCGAATGTTTTTGAACAAGTTTTTTGTACAATTAGGATTAACAACAGGATGCCCTTTTGTTTGCGAAGTTCATCAAGGTCGGTGCATTATTTTCTGATTTAAAAAAATGATTTTTAAAGTGATTTGTATATATCGTAGGTTTGTCACTTTGATATCAGTCATAATATCAAGACTATCGTCACAATCTGGCAGAGATTCATCAACGACAGAGCAGTGTGAACAGTTTCCTTATCCAGTTACCACCATGGCACTCAAGGAAAACTTATTAAAATATGTCCAAAATGAATAACAAACGCACATGTACCACTTAGTAATGTGTATGTATATGTGTTGCCACACTCAACAGGAGATGTGGAGAAGAGAATCCTGTTGCTGTTAATGCAGAGGTCAATGCTCTCATCAGTGAAGCAGATGCACTAATCTACACAGACAGATACCTTATACGCCAAAAAAGAAGCGCATGGGCATTCACAACATGCTCAGCGGGCAGAACAGTCAAAGAAGCCAATGGCGCCTTCTCCATGACAACCAGCAGAAGGACAATGAAGGTGATGACAGTGACGAAAGCGTTCGCCTGGCTCGTAACACAAAACTACACCCGCGTATGTATACTGGGTGATTCAACGAGTATGATCAGGAGGGTTCAGGCAGGTTAGGTGAGAGGACAAAGGTTTGAATCATTACAGAAGTCCACTGTGCGTGGAGTCACCTTTACCTTTATTCCGGGACATGCAGGCGTCGATGGAAATGAAAGAGCTGATAGGTTGGCTGGATCCGCTATCACTACTGACTGTCAGCTTATGGATCATGCTGATATTATTAATGCCCTCAGAGAAATGGGAAGGATAGAGGACTTTGGGAGCAGTGAATCCACATCACTCGCCAGAATGGCAGACTTGGGAATTAAGATCGGCACAGCAAAAAACAAGACGCACACCAGACACACCAGAAGACTTGTTAATCAACAAAGAACTGGTACTATTAGCCATCGGACGTTGGGGTTCATATTGAGGGGAGGATCTGAGCACCTAAGGACATGTCTGGAGTGCAATGATGATAACCCAACTAAACTAATAATTATGAGTTAAACATAAACTTAATCTGTACATTAAATCTTGTTCCAGATAATCTTTTGATAACAGCACCATTATTTGGTAAAGAAAACGGAACTCCCAAAACAGTTAGTATCTTCACACAAAACAAAGTTTATATAAAACCAAGTTTGCCTGTAATTTTGTAGCTATTTTTCTAAATAATAAGAGGAATAGCACTAGAAATGACACCAAAGACAATCACATTTTCACTAATATTGATTTGATTTCTGCCAGCAGACTTTGCTGTTGTTGTACCATTCTCGTGAGGTACACATTAGACCTATCCCTCATCAATGTTTGACTAGAGCAAGTTTATTTTGCTATTGTCTGTCTAGCTTCTGACAAATCTGATAAACATGCATTTTATTGAAAGGTGCGGCTTCTAAAGCCATAAATCTTGTTGGTGTGCATGAAAAAGACTGCTCGGAGGCCACTTTGTTTTCAGACAGACACTTAGTGATTCTGTAAAGCTTACAAACCTACTAAATTTTATACTTGTAACCACATTTCTGAATAAACATGATTGAACACAAACTACTGAAATGACCAATCGAAACTGCTGATTCGTCTTTTTTACCCATGCTTAATGGTAAATTCAAAGTGAGACATATAATTATTGCATCTTGCGTTCATTTGGTATTAACCTATGATTGTATGATGCATCGGCTCAAAACAGACGTCAGCCAAACTTTCTACGCCTCTTTGCCAATTATCAGGTTTAAAACTTACCCCTGTGCCAACGCCTCTGGTGAAACAACAAGTGTCGACGTACGCCAAATCAAATTGTATCTACCAATTCAAATGTAGCTGTAAAGCTGCTTATGTGGGCAGAACTGATCGAGCCTGGAGAAACGAGTCACTGAGCACATTCCAGTATGGGTGGAAAAAGCCATGCAAAATAATATTCAAAATGAGAATACTGGCCGCAAAGATAACCCTCTGCAATAGCACACCATCTTCTAAAATCTGGACACATGGTGACTAAATGTAAAGCATTTCAAATCCGTCATATGTCAACCAATGGCAGAATGCTAAGATTTCTCGAAGCTTCTGCGATTCGTCACCTGCGCCCAGAACTCTTAATTCAGAAAGAGATGGTTCAGTCTTTACAGCTGCCCTGGTAAAAAGGACAGTCATGTTTGATCGTTGTTGAAATTGTACTTCAGTTGTAAAAGATTCACTTCCCTGAAGTCGGAGTACATCTGTCCGTGAGGCAGGGAACGGCAAAAGCCAGTAAAATGATTGTACACTCAAAACTCAGGTCCAGGTAAAAGCCAAAAGTTCAAACGGACGATTTACCGGGATTTTCCGCCGGAATTCACAGCTGGTGAACGAAGAAGAAGAAAGGATTCACTTATTTGCTTCATTTATGTAATTGTTTCTATAGTATGCACCTGACGAGATACAGCAAAATTATGCCAGGCAATAAATTGTGCAATCTGTTGTTTGTGTCTTCAGATTTTGTTCAGATTTTCTTTACTTAAAAAATGTTTGTGGCTTTATTCCAGTCCAGAGAGGCGCTTCAGTACATGCTGCACACAATTGTCTTTGACACCAGTTTTTCTCCATGTGGTCGTTATTTAGCTGCAGCAAATAAATTTGGGGATGTAGCACTGTTTAGGTTTGTATACCTGTTTTGTGTTAAGTGTTGTTTTGGCCTCTTTGTTTAGGGGGGAGGGGAAAAAATTGCAGAGTAGTTTAGAGGTCAGGGGGTGTAGTGGGAGCATCATATGTGGCTTAAGCAGTCCCAGTTTGTTTAATTTTCACCATTTTCTTCTCCATCATCATCATCATGTTCTTTTCTTCTTCTTCTTCTTCTTCATCCTCTTCTTCCTCCTCCATCTTCTTCTTCCTCCTCCTTCTCCTCATCCTCCTCCTTCTCATGTTCTTGTTCTTCATTATCTTCTTATATTTTTCCCTCATCATTCTCTGTCCTTCCTTCCTCCAGTTACCCTAGGAAAGTGTTGTGGGTAGTGCAGTGGTCTTCTGTCGGCTCTTTCTCATTTGCTGTGTACATTTGATCTTGGACTTCCTCCAGCGGCACTGTTCGAAACATGTTCTAATTCTTTGCTATCTGCTCTTTCCCTGGCCCTGATGCATTTATTTTCCATTTGTTCAGTGGATGGTTTCCTCTGGCAGTCCTGACCAAATGCATTCTTGTCCCTGTGACCAAACGATTGCATTTGTGGGCTTACACTTTTGTGAATGTACTGGTTTCAGTCCAAGTCTTTTTCTCTCCTCATCTTAGGATTCCCTAGCGAAAAATTCTGGTTGTTCGTCCATTTCTGCACTTTGGCATTGTTCCAGAACTTTAGTTTTGTGTACAAATTTGCTTTACAGATCTGGCTTATTTGTATGCAGACTGTTGGTTCCTCGCTTCTCAGGCATGATGCTGCCCCTACTAGGAAAAAACTTTATCTCTGCTGTGTAGCATTGGCTTTCTTGTCCAATACTTGATGTGTTTTACCCTGCTCTTTCCCAGGGGGTTGTTTTCTTTTTTTTCTTCAGAATTTAGCCCTGGAACACAAGGGGGGGGGGGTTCTAGTTCCGTTAACAAATGTTATTTTCTTTGTTGCTCACTTTAGATCTGTACTGGTCTCAGCGCAGTGCTTTTTCTACTCATCTTAGCGATCACCAGCGAATTCTGGTTGTTGGAATAAGGTTATTGAAAAGATTTTTTAAAGGTAAAAAAAAATGCTACATTCACTCTTGATTCTGAGGTAGTGGAATTCTTCGTGGCCCCCCACTTTTAAGGTCATTGGTTCGTTGTTTACCCATTTTGTTGTTCAATTCATGGGAGCAGTTTTTACAGAGAATGTTTTACAGAGGGGAATCTCACTGGAGCTACTGAGGGAATTATGGTTATATTTCAGTGTTGCTCAGGCTATCTGCTGTAAGATTGGATATATATCCCTGTTGTTATTATTTTATAATCGTTTCTTATGACTTTATGCAATGGATCACCATCATGGCACAAGGGTGGTAACCCATAATTGCTCTGTTCTGCTTCTAACTCAAGCTAAGTCTTCTCGGAATGAAAAAAGTTAAAAGGAGGAGCGATCAGTTGATCTGGCCGATATTTAGCACTCATGGAAGAAGGGAGATGGTTATACAGTCCGACTGTTGCAGGTGCTATGGAAATAGGAACTCTTCACTTGCTGCTAAAGGTGGGGGAGGAGCATTTATGGGAGTGTCCTGAATACTGTGATGTCAATTCAGCATTCTCCCCGTGTGGGTTCTTGGGCTCTGTTATAGGGAAAACAAGAATAGACCCACTGCCTACCCAAAAGCATATCACAAGAGTCGACTAATTGGGAGTGCATCTGCCTGAGAGGCAAGGAACCAGCAGTCTGCATACACATGAGTCAGATCTGTAAAACGGATGCACAAGCAACACTCAGATTCTGGAACTGGACTGCAGTTCAGAAGTGGATGAACAACCAGAACTTTCCGCCAGAGTTTACAGCTAGTGAACGGGAAAAAGAAGAAGAAGAATAAATTCAGCATTCAGAAAGAAAAAGAACACTTTACCAGGATCAAGTAACTGTGAAGTTCCTGTAAAATAAACAAATACAGTGAACACTTTAGTTGTTGAGGACCAACATCACAGCACATGGAAGGTTCACATAAGTGCTTTATCCCTATCTTCAGCAGCCAGTGCAGGGTGAATGCTGTAATGATATAATATAATAATCGTATAATAAGTATTAACATTTACTTTCAGTCTGACTGCAGCGCTGGCGCCAGATGTTCGAGACGAGGCCAAGTATCCTGTATTTACATTTAATGGTGTGTTCTCATTTGAGTTGAGTTGATTTAAGAACCGACATCATAGCACTATGGGCATTTCCATAAGTGCTCGGTCCCCGTCATCAGCAGCCAGGGAAGAGTTCCGATACTAATGGTGCCAGTAGCATTCTGATTAAATGCCTGTGCCTTTCCTCTGAGCCTCGAAGCATCTGCCTCTCAACACTCCCCCCTGCATCACTCTCACCAGACTGGTGAATTGTCTGCTGTCACTAACCATGTCTGCCTTATCATGCATCAGTATTCCACCAAGTTGTGCAGAGCCAGCCAGTCTGTCCAACTGTTCATTTCCCAACACATCGGCATCTCCCGGTGAAAAAATCCAGACAGCACTCCTCACCCGTGTCCTCCGCAGTGAAGCATGCACGAAGCATGCCTGTCCTGAACTGGTATGTTCTCAAGATTCATGTTTATTGTGAAAAGTAATGTGAGCCAATTCCCACGCAAGTAAATGAATCGAAGCTACTCTTGTTAATCATCTTTTGTGTACATAATAACATCAGCAGATACGTGTGGGCAGTTGATTGAATCAAAGTTATTACTGCACCAGATGGCTCCCAGATATGATTCTATAGTTTTTTGTTTGTTTTTTAAGTATCCAGAAACCTTGAGTTGTAAACCCTTTGGCTCGGTACTATAGATACTGCAACCCTTCGGCCTTGATTTCATGATAGATACTGTAAATCTGGGATGATATGTGGCTTTTCTGCCTACCTCCGGGCGTAAACCTGGACCACAAGGAGTTCATCACCAGGTCGCCGCGAAGTACTGTTTAACCATCTAGGCTAGCGAGCCGGGCACTACAGTGTTTAAAAATGTATGCTAGGGAAGGAAAGACAACTGTGACGTATCTGTCACCTGCCCTCCCCTCGTGGGTTAATGACCCTGTTTTGAGGGAGACAAAGAATACACACACTGTACATTGACAAGCGTATTGTAGCGGTGGCTGATTAAGGGTTTGCTAAGGTTTAGATGTTTTAGGCCGAAAGGGCACAGATATGACAGCCTGTCTGTACACCCTGACTGTACCCACCACCCTTTTAAAGGCAGACACAGAAGGCTTTTGAAAGAGGTCCTCACTGTGTAGCTCCCAGGTCCCCATTGTGGGGGAGGAACAAGAATAGACCCACTAACAAGCATGTTATGAGAGTCGATTAACTGGGGGTTGGTGAGAGGACTAACTGGAGGTTGGTTTCCTTTAAAGTCATAGTGCATCTGCATAGAGGCAAGGACCGACAGTCTGCATAGAAATAAGCCAGATCTGTAAAACGGATTTGCATGCAGAACTCAAGTTATGGAGTAAAGACTAAAGTCCAGAAGCGGACGAACTGCCAGAATTATTTGCTAGCTTTTAAAGATGATGAAAGCAGAGAAAATTAAGAAACATTTTTTTTTCAAGTTGACAGATTGAATCATTAATTAGTATTTTTTTTTTCCAGTCTACAAAAATGGGGGTGTTTACAGTCTTACAAGTACAGACACTTTGTTGATATGGTAAGTTCCATTGTGCTTCATATTGTTAAAATATCCATGACATGTTTATGGTCACCAGGTTTGACATCATCATCATCGAGTGTCTTGCTGTCTGAGAAATACTTTCATCTTTAAAAGGATTTTTTGCATGTTGTGATTTACCGCCACACTGCAGTTTTCAGCGCCTTTGGCGAAGGGTGTTTTTGTGGTGAAGTGGTCAGGCCTTTGGCCTTTTGCTGTGGAGGTCATGGGTTCGTTTCATGGCTGCATCGTTTGGTTCAAAGGGTGTTTTCTACAGAGACCCTGTGGATGATCACTGGAGCTACGTTGTCAATAGTTTTCTTTATGGCTTTGTTCCATTGCAGTCTTCTGTCGGTTAGGGGTAGTTAGCATCCTTTGGATATTTTCTCCAAGTAATACTAGTGTTTTGGGAAATGAATAGGCAGATAGACTGGCCGGTTCTGCACCACTTGAAGCTAGAGGGCCCTTTGGGAGCGAGTGAACAGTAAGGAGGCACACACAGATCATTCCGATCTGAAGAGAATGGTGTGTGGGGAGTTACCACGGCATCTGGCCGATGCTCATCACTCAGGGAAAAGGTGAGACGGATATACAATCAGACAGTTACTGGTGTCTTTAGAATTGAAACTCTTTGCCTGCTGCTGAAGATGGGGATGGAGCGCTTATGGGAGTGTCCTAAGTGCTGTGATGTCGATTCTTCAATCAGCATTCAACAGTATCATTATTGTCTTCACATTATTCAAGCTGAGGAATTATCAATAACTTTTTGAAATTCTTTCAGAATTGATGCTTCTTATATGGTACTTCTGTGTGGAGGGGTTTTAAGACCCCAGTGGGGGTGGAATAGACCCCTATGAAGCATGTCGTAAAAGATGACTGACTAGGGAGTGTTCCTCCAAAGTTGGAGCTCATTTGCCCAAGAGGTGTGAGGAACAAACAATCTGCATACAGATAAGCAGATCTGTGAAACAGATGTGCACACAAAAGTCAAGTTCTGGAACAATACTAAAGTCCAGAAGTGGATGAACAATCAGAACTTTCCCAGAGTTTACAGAAATGACCACCAATCTGATTATATAATAAAACCAAAACCGATTGCCAGATAACATAGTGTAATAAATCAGGGCTCACAAGCAGGGTGACCTAACCTCCCATTGTCAGCGGGATAGTTCTGTCCCGGCTGTCCCTTTGGTACAGAAAGGGAAAAAAAAGCAATTTACATCAGTTGACCAAAAATCATAACAATTCCATTTTCGGACCTAGACAAACGCAAATTATGCATTAATGAAACAGAGTAGTCAGTCAAAATGAATACAGCAGAGAATCAGTGGATTACATCTTTCTCTTCTTCTTCTTCCTCTTCAGCATTCCGAGCCCTTGAGGTTCATTTCTGCAGATACCACCCACCTCCATTCATCTCTCTGGTTGGCCTTCTCTTTCCAGTTAGTGACACCAAGTGTTTATAGGTCTGTCTGGACATTATCTCCTCTCCATCGTGTTCTTGGTCTGCCTCATGATCCACGACCATTCATCTCCCTTGTTTATACATTTTCACTTCTCTGTCATCTGGCATTTTCGGACCTAGACAAACAAAAATTAGGCATTTTTGAAACAAAGTAGTCATTCACAATCAATGCAGCAGAGAATCAGTGGATTACATCTTCCTCTGGTCTGATAAATAAATTTAATGCCACAACTCATTTTTTGAATCCTGTGACCTGGCCGCTGGAAACCACTGTAGATAATCTGAACTCATGACCTCGTCATTTCTATAAATAAAGCCAGTTTCTCACAAGAAAACGCCCACAAATGTTATTTTAGTGACTATGACCAAGGAAATCAGTGCTTCTAGCGAGGATTCTTGTAATTAACTCCTTATAGCCGTGCCGGTTAAGTAGCTTTTACAAGGGCATGAGACAAACTGGAAGTGCCGTTTTGGCTACTTCCCAGGATGAAAGAGTCCAGGTATATATAGTGTTACTATTCTTTGTTACCTTTGAAGGTTTCTTGGAACTCAAACAAAGGCTAATTTTATTGAATGCTGGGCATTTAGTTGTGTGTTGTAATTTATTATCCTAATTTTTTAAAAGTAGTTGCCACAAAAACTGACAAACTCTGAAAACATGAAGTGATGGTAAATTTTAGATTGATCTGTTTTTTATTTTCAGTGCTGGAGAGGGGGATATTCAGGCATATAAATGGTCAGATATTATTTCCAAGGTACACATTTCTTTAGTATGTAGCATATAATCAAGTGTATTGAACCACAGTGTTGTAGTTGTTGGTTCACAGGCTGGCCTTTTTGGGCAGCCCTGAATAAACCCTTAACCTCTTCCACTTGGGAGTCGCCGTGGCATAGCGGCTAGACGCTTGCGTGCGGATCGGAAGGCCATGGGTTCGCTTTCTGGCGGAGCCGGTCTTTTTTTTAAAAATTACCTTGACTCCCAGGTTGACCCAGCCTTGAGTGGGACTGGGTGCACTTCCAGGAAGTAAAGGCGGCCGGCGTGATGCTAACCACATCACCCATCTTGTGCCGGTTGGTCTATAAAAATATAGGTCTAGCCCTATATGCCCTATACCCCTAAAGGCGTGGAAAGGGGACCTTTACTTTTTTACTTTTACCCTTCCCCTCAGCGCATACGTTTTGTCATAATCATGTTGGTTTTGGGTAACCCAACTCCCAAAATAGGTGCAAGAAATTTGGGTTTGCATGAGCAAAGACAGTATTGATGAATACCTGTTTTTTCTCAAATAGTCGGTATTCACATTTCACACCTGCTGGGAGAGACTGGGTGTTTTGAGCTTGTCCTGAGTACACTCACATTTAGACTTTGTTATAAATTATTCTGAATATTAACCCTGTCACCATTGGAAGGTACTAAACCAAAACAGGTTGGAGTAATTCCTCAAAAAATGAAATAACTGTTTAAAAAAAAACTACTGGGGAGAAAAGCCGGGGGACAAGAGAACAAGAGGTACAAATTGGAGGACAACTTCAGGAGATGGACGAACAGCAGCCTGAGAGAGTGTACTACAAGACAAGAAACAGAGTGTGTTGGAGATTCAGTACAGCTGACCTTCATTGTGGAGCTGGCATCTGATTGATTGATTGATTGATTATTATATCACTGCACATTGAGCCTGACCAGGTGTGTTCAGTCCTGCGATGCAGCAGCCACTCCAGGGTAGCTCTACTGACTGTTTCTAGGAGAAGTTGGTTATGATGCCTTCTATCTTGAAGACAGCATTGACCTGTCATGCTTCACCAAGCTTTACTCCCAGGTCATGTTAGGGTGTTTTATTAATATCCCACCCCAAACAGGGGAAAATCCACAGGTCATGGGGCAGTCTAATATTTCAGGTGGTGGCAGATAGGCTGCATGTAGTCGTGGGACCTAGGCTGCACTCTCTCGTGGGACCTTGGCTGCACTCTCTCGTGGGACCTAGGCTGTACTCTCTCGTGGGACCTAGGCTGTACTCTCTCGTGGGACGTAGGTGGGTTGAGGTTAGGGCCCGCTGTAGATATTTTGTGGTTATTAAAAGCATCAGAAGGCCGGTAAACCCAGTCTTACCACCCTCTAAAATGTTGGACTGTCCTTTGACATCATCTGGGGTAGTTTATTAATAAAGAACCCATGTTAGTGTCGAAGACTGATCAGTGATCACCAGCCTAATCCATAAAATATTGATTATATCAACTCAGTCCATGTGTTATCACGTGGAATATTGGTGCATTACTTTAAAATTGGTCCACGCATGATAACCTTTTGACTCCGGCATGCCAGGCCATGTAGATCGACTTGAAGTGTGACTTCTGAATGCTGTCTATCCATTCAGAGCAGAGACTACCTGTTGCTTTGTCAGAAGCAAGTTCATTGAATCTGAAATCGTCTTCTTCTTCGCGCTCACCAGCTGTTAACTCTGGCAGAGAGTTTTGGTTGTTCGTCCACTTCTGGACCGCAGTCCTGTTCCAGAACTTGAGTGTTGTTTGTGCATCCATTTGACAGATCTGACTAATTTGTATGCAGAGTGTTGGTTCCGTACCTCTCAGGCAGATGAACTCTGACTTTGAGGGAAGCTTCCAATTAGTCGACTCTTACAACATGCTTTTGGGTAGGCAGTGGATCTATTCTTGTTTTCCTTATAAGAGGGCTCCGGAACCCACAGGGGGAGAATCTGATATGATTACAGGCCCCCATTGCGGGGAAGACAAGAACAGACCCACTGTGCCCTAACAAGCATGTCCTAAGAGTCAGCTGACTGGAGGCTTCCTTCAAAGCCGGAATGCATCTGCCTGAGAGGCGAGAAACCAACAGTCTGCTTATAGATAAGCCAGATCTGAAAAAAGAATGTACATGCAACAAGTCTTCTGCTATTATTTTTTCCAATCGGCCATGGTGCTTGATATGACCAAAATATTTCAGCTTCCAAGACAAGATGCTGTTTATTAGCCAATCTTCCTTGATGTTCAGATCTTTCAAAATGTCAGTATTTATTCTCTTTTTTGGACTGTGGTATTCTGAGATTCTTTCTATAGCATTTCAGCTCCAAAGCCTCTATTTTCTTTCTTAAGGACTGAGATAGTCCACGACTCACATTCGCATAGATTACTTATGAATTCTTGAGGTTCTGTTATCTTTCAGAGTTAAAAGCAGAACAGAGAAGAAGAAAGAATTTAATGCATGAATCATACTGTTTGGCCCCCCACCCCCTTTTCCCATTTTAATATTATTATAAAATGCTTGTTTTCAGAATGCAAGGGTCGCCTGGTCTTTGGCAATACCAAAAAAGTAAGTCAACTATATCAACACTTTGACTTATGGCATACTTGTTACTAATGGGAATTAGCACACAAAACACATATTAACGCCAACAAAACAGGGACTTCTGGCATACTTGTTACTAATGGGAATTAGCACACAACACACATATTAACACCAACAAAACAGGGACTTATGGCATACTTGTTACTAATGGGAATTAGCACACAACACACATATTAACACCAACAAAACAGGGACTTATGGCATACTTGTTACTAATGGGAATTAGCACACAACACACATATTAACGCCAACAAAACAGGTACTTATGGCATACTTGTTACTAATGGGAATTAGCACACAACACACATATTAACGCCAACAAAACAGGGACTTATGGCATACTTGTTACTAATGGGAATTAGCACACAACACACATATTAACGCCAACAAAACAGGTACTTATGGCATACTTGTTACTAATGGGAATTAGCACACAACACACATATTAACGCCAACAAAACAGGTACTTATGGCATACTTGTTACTAATGGGAATTAGCACACAACACACATATTAACGCCAACAACACAGGTACTTATGGCATACTTGTTACTAATGGGAATTAGCACACAACACACATATTAACGCCAACAAAACAGGTACTTATGGCATACTTGTTACTAATGGGAATTAGCACACAACACACATATTAACGCCAACAACACAGGGATCATGACCATAGCCAAGGTAGACAAATCAATAAATATTCAACTCTGAAACAAAAAACTTCAGTTGTTTAGGAAGCATAATATCATCAGCCAGCAAAACTGACTCTAAGATTGGTGACAGAGCAAATCAACTCATGGGACAAATGGTGCCAGTACTAAGAAATAAACTTGTGTCGATAGAAACTAAAAGATGTGAGCCTTTTTGCCACCCCTGTGCTACCAATGCCAAACCTGGACGATGACAGAAAAAGAGAACATAAAAAGTGCAACTACTAAAATGAGATTCCTATGAAGGGCTTTCAGTATAACAATAAGAGATAAGATCAGGAATAATCAAATCTGAAGGAGAATGGTTAAAGTGGGAGCCCTGGATTTCATTAGAAGACAACAGGTGAAATGGTTTGGCCATATAACTCGGACGTCAGCAAACAGTATACCACAGCAAGCAATGATGTACAGACCGAGCGGGACAGGAAGAAGAGGCCCACCATGCAACCGATGGACAGAGGGAATAACTGAGTCCCTAGGAATCCCCATTTATGAAGCGCACAAATGGGCACTTTCTCGGTAATTATACTTCGCCTAGACACCCCAAAGTACCAGAGGATCGGGATGAGATGAGATGATGAGACACATAAGTTCACAATTGATTCGCTTTTCTGTTCTATCTTGTACAGTTTTTGTCATTTTTAATATCATGCACAACATTTAGTACTATGCCTGGCATTTCCCATCAGGGTTTGTCATAGTTAAATTCCCCATCAGGGTTTTTCATAGTTTGTTTTCCAGTCAGGGTTTGTCATAGTTAGTTTTTCAATCAGGGCTTGTCGAAGTTAGTTTTCCCATCAGGGTTTGTCGAAGTTAGTTTTCCCATTAGTGTTTGTCATAGTTTTCCCATCAGTGTTTGTCGTAGTTAGTTTTCCCATCAGGATTTGTCATAGTTAGTTTTCCCATCATTGTTTGTTGTAGTGAGTTTTCCCATCAGGGTTTGTCATAGTTAGTTTAGTTTTAGTTAAATTACCAGAATGGCCTCCTTTACATGTTATTATTTATATTACTCGTACATTAAATCTTCTTCATCTCCCTCAGAATTCTGAGCCCTTGAGGTTTATAGTTGCAGATTTCACCCACGTCGACTCATCTTTGTGATTGGCCTTCTTTTTCCAGTTGAAGACTCCAGATGTTTGTAGGTCTGTCTGTATATTGTCTCTCCACCTTCTTCTTGGTCTGCCTCGTGGCCTACTTTAATTCAGTTTTTTCTGTGTGTTTCACGTGCTGTAAGCTCCAGCAGAAAATCCTGGTTTTTCGTCAGTTTGGACTTTGGCTTTGTGCCAGGGCCTGACTTGTGGGTATACATCTATTTTACTGGCTTATCAGTGTGCATTTGGTTGTTCCAAACTGCTCAGGCAGTTGCCTTCCGACTTTGAAGGAAGCTCCCAATTAGTCGACTCTTATGGCGTGCTTGTTGGGGAGGCAGTGGGTCAAATTTTATTTTCTCAACAGTGGAGCCCGGAGCCCACACGAGAACTTTCATTCAAATCTTATGTCTTTGTGTCTCCTTACTGTCTGGCATGTCGGCGTCTGTGGCTAAGGCGTTGTGCACGTGCTTCGTAATGCCGGGTGCAGGGTTTGATCCCAGCTGCGGGCCTTGCGTTGGTTTCGACAGTGGTATCAAGAAGCCGACCACCCAGAAAGCAGTGACAAACTACTGGGTGTAAATTGCCTAGAAAAACCACAACAGCCAATGCCGTGGTTGGTTCTGCAACGTCCTGTAAAGGGTACGCAACTAACTTTAACTGTCTGTCATTCTGTCTGTATGTCCCAACCATTTCAGTCTATTAGCCCCCAGGACACCCGCAGTCAGTGTGGTGATTTAAACAGATTATGAATCTTCTCATCTGCTGTGTGCATCTGTGATGAGTCCAGAGATTTGTCGTAAGACTATTCTCACAAGTTTGTAATATCACATTCAGTAGTCAACATTATTGTTACTGGTTGCCTCTGCTTTTGTTACAGGGGTGTATTTTCACATCCTGAGGTGAACTCCTGTGTTGTTTACGAAGATAATGTGAGTATTTGGGGAACATAAACAATTAACCTGTGAGTTACCATTGATGTTTCAGATTTGGACACAATATGTAGTATGGAAACCTCTTCACTGAGTTACCACTATGTGGGTTAGACTTGAAGAAGAGTATATTTCGTACATATAAACTGTCACTAAGTTAATATTTATGAGTTAGGTTTGACAATGAGAGTATCTATACTGCATGCAATCTGAGTTAATATTAATGAGTCAGATTTGAAAATGAGAGTATCTCTACTGCATGCAGTTTAAGTTGATATTAATGAGTCAGATTTAACAATGAGAGTATCTGTACTACAAATAATCTATCAGTCTGTTGGGAAGAATTACATAATGTTGATTGTCTGTTGTGTGAATAGTCTGCGGGGAAGAACTACATAATGTTGATTGTCTGTTGTGTGGATAGTCTGTGGGAAAGAACTACACAATGTTGATTGTCTGTTGTGTGGATAGTCTGTGGGGAAGAACTACATAATGTTGATTGTCTGTTGTGTGAATAGTCTGCGGGGAAGAACTACATAATGTTGATTGTCTGTTGTGTGGATAGTCTGTGGGGAAGAACTACACAATGTTGATTGTCTGTTGTGTGGATAGTCTGTGGTGAAGAACTACATAGTGTTGATTGTCTGTTGTGTGGATAGTCTGTGGGGAAGAGCTATATAATGTAGGTTATCTGTTGTGTGGATAATCTGTGGTGAAAAACTAAATGGTATAGTTTATTTATTGTGTAGATAGTTTGTGTGGAATTGTTACATAATGTTGGTTATTTGTTGTTGTCTGTCACAGGGAAGGTGTAGATTATATGCGGGTGCTGGTGATAACTTGATCCACATGTGGGACATTGAAAGTGGCACATACCTGGTAAGTATGGATAGGGCTTTTTTTTCCCTTTCTTAGCCTCTCTCTGTCTCATCTCTTATTATGTTCATCTTTCCTAGTATGGATAGGGTTTCTATTTCTTTCTCGCTGCCTCTGTCTGTCTGTCTCTCTCTTTCTCTCTCTCTCTCTCTCTCTCTCTCTCTCTCTCTCTCTCTCTCTCTCTCTCTGCCTCTCTCTCTCAATCTAACTTTTTTTTAGTGTATCTTTTTTTTCCTACTCTTGTCATCATTGGTTATTCTTTTATTTTAATTTTTTATTTTCCTGTCACTCTTCTGTTTTTTTTTTCCCTTGCAGTATGGGTGGAAATATTCCCCATGTGGGTTCTGGGGCCCCATTGTGGGGGGAAATAAGAATAGACCCACTGCTTCCCCAACAGGCATGTCACAGAGCCGACTAGTGGGAGTGCTTCTGCCCAAGCAGCAAGTAACAACTGACTGCACACAAATTAACAAGTAAAGTGAATGTACATGCAAAACTCAGGCTCTGGCACAAAGCCTAAAGTCAAAATGGACGAACAACCAGAACTTTCCTCTTGATTTACAGCCAGCAAACAAAGACGAAGAGAATGGAAATTGGATTTTGCAGTGTTGGAAATTTTGAATTAAAAAAAAAAGTATTTTGTGTGTGTATGTTTTCTGTAATGATGTTATAAATAGGGATAACGTCAGGGGATGTGTCAGCTGTTGTCGACCGTCATTTGAAGTTGTGTGGCCGTGGAGAGAAGTGCCGTCTGGTTAGAATGAGCTGTGACCTACCATCTAGTCAACAGAGTCAGTGTTGAATCTGCACTAGAAAGATCAAGTGTGGAGGAGACACAGTACATTGGGAACTCGTCCGGCTCGTCTTTATTTGAACTGTTAAAAAAGGGACACACAATAAAATTTAGACAGCAAACAGATGTGCAGTCCTTCATTTATGTTTTATCTGTTTAAAAATATAAATGTTATTTACTTTGAACTGTTTGGATTCTTCAGGATTCTTTGACTGGTCACACAGACTACATCCACTCTGTTGCCTTGAAGGATGAAGGAAAAGGGCTCATCTCTGCGGCTGAGGATGGCACAGCCAGGATTTGGGGTAAACATAGGTGTTCTGTTTAATCTTTAGAGCGTGTTATATTCACACATTAATACAGTACTATGAGTGTCAAGTAAAAGACATAAAAGCATGGGTAGTAAATGCATGCATTCAAATATACATCCATGCCAAATACACAGAACACAGACATGCATACATGCAAACATACATACATATGTACACACTCGTACACATGCACACCATACACAACACGGACATTATTATACAGACTTACACATTGATAAATACACGCACATAATACACACTTACACATTCATTAACACACAAAAACAGACTCTCCTACATACACATACACACACTCATACTTACTCACACATGCATGCATAGCCACATACAAACATACACTCTCAAATACCTGTACGTACTCTGCAATAGATACACATGCACACACTCATATACATACATACTGAGGAGACTAAGCTAGATAGGACAAAATTCAGAGCAGTGAACTAGATCTTCTCACTTCTTGGTAGACTTTGAATTCCACACTAGCTTGGGCAGAAAGAGTTAAGGGTTTGCTTAAATCTGATGTGTTAAAAGGTGCAGATATTGCATCTTAGCTGGAGACCGCAAGGCAGTGTGTCAGCTGCACTTCTCAGTGCGGTACAGAAAAAGAAGAAATACTCCTGTTGTTTTCTCAAACAGTGTGCTAAATGTTTCAGATCTTCGAGCCAAGGAGGCTGTACATGTGGTGAAGCCCTTTGAACATGAGGTGAGTTCACATGCATGATACTCAATATCATTATCATCATATGGTTTGTCAGATGATGAAGACGTTCATGTTTCTCTGTAGACCTTGGTGTGCTGGATCATGGCTTACTTCTGTGCCACTCTTAGATTCACTTCTTCTACTACTCTTCTTGAGCTCTTTTTAATGACTATTCCGATCATTTGATCATTTTGTTCTTTCCGAGCCACTACCTAAACGTTTACCACACCATCCTGAGGTTTGAAAAACAGTCCGTTCAACCAGCAAAGAAGTCATAATTAGGGCACCCATAACAGCTACACTAGTAAGGTGTGCCCCACGGTGCTGTGCTTGTACCGACATACATTTTTATACTGGGTTAGCTTTATAAGGCTCAAATATCACAGCTATGCTGAAATGGGCAGTAATATCCTCAGATGAATGCAGCCTTCGCAGAATAGAGGAAATTAAATGGTGTGATAGAATCACTAAAGTGGAGCTTTTGGAAAGAACTATGCAAGCTCCAGAGGACCAAGAGGTGAAGAAAAGATTCTGGCGTTGGATAGGACACACATTGAGAAAACTGTAGAGCAAAATAACTAGAATGTCTTTGCATTGGAACCCACAGCGGCATAGAATTAAAGGAAGACCAAAATACACATGGAGAAGGGAGCTGGAGAATGAAGTTAGATAGATGGGGAGGACATGGAGAGAGCTGCATGTGATAGCAAAGGATAGAACGACTTGGCGTGAGTTGGTTGAGGGCCTATGCTCCATTGGGGGGTTAGAAAGGCAGGAGAAGAATAGAAGAAGAAGAATGTAGAGGCTTAGCTCAGGATTGTGAGCTGAAAATCTTGAGATCAACTTGTGCGCAACATTCATGTGTGCGCCACAGTTTTACGGTACTTACTGTGAGACTGATGTGGTGCTTGAAGAAGTCAGCTGATGGCCACAAAGGTGGTGATTTTACTATAAACAGACAGCACATCTGAATACAAACAGAAGATATCAGATGAATAATGAAGAATATGTCAATGAATAAGGCACTAGAACAGAAATTAACTACATGGGAAATTTTCTGTCTCCGCAATTTCACTAACAACATAGGAAGAGACAGGGTTACGAATATCAGCATTGGAGAGAAAATTGGAATAAGACCATTTCTGGATTATATTGACAGACAAAGAATGAAATGGTTCTGCCTTGAGACTTTTTACGGCAGAACCTCCTGGAGGAAGGCAAGAGGAAGACCAAGAAAGAGATCAATAAATGGTGAAGCCAGAACCTGTAAAAAGATTAACAGATCCATCACTCGAGGCGAGCCTACCCAGAAGTGCAAGACATATACAGCAAACCACAACACTGGGCTGCAAGCTGGTATCAGTGAGATGACAAAAGAAGAAAAATGAAGAAAAAGAATAGTCGGTCTTCCATTAGAATAATACAGTTACATTATTTCCATTCCCTCCTCAGTTATACCATCTGTAGTATTGCTTATGTGTGCCAGAAAGGGCTTTCTTAGCCTAGGACAGTGATTCTCAAATTGTGCTCTGCGGCACCCTGGGGAGCCACGACCTCTTTACAGGGGCCCTGCAAAATATTCGAAGATACACAACTTTATATATATTTTTTTTTATCTCTTACATACGAATAGTCATACTTTTACTTAGTTAGCCTTGCAAAAATTTTAATTGAAAAAAAAAGGGCCCGTGACTAAAAAAAAAAGAGTTTGGGAAGCATTGGCCTAGGAAATAGTTGCCTGCCATAGCTGTAGCCACGCAGTGTACAAGCTATGTTTTTTTTTATTTCTTTGACTTCTTCAACGATCATTACTTGCTGTTCCTCCTTTCTGCAGAGTGACCTTCACAGGTGCCACACTTTGTCTCTTTGTCTTGAAGGGTTGTCCTGGGTACCAGATTTTCTCTCTCTCTTCTCTCTCTCTCTGTCTGTCTCTCTCTCCCTCTCTCTTTCTCTCTCTGTCTCTCTCTCTCTCTCTCTCTCACTTTCTGTCATCAGTTTTTCTAGTTGAAAGCCTCCAAGACTTACTCAAATCGGAACGGGAAGGGTCATTTATTAATAGATTACCTTGGCTGGCTTCCAGCGAACCCCAGCTAATTACTGGGGGATATCCTGGGAAGTAAAGGTGGACAGCGTGTTGTTGGCAGTATTTCCCCGTCAGAGGGTCTGAGTGCTGTATACAAATATGCGTCCAGTATGCCGGGTGCAAGAGTGGCTCGAGAGGGTTCTTTTATCTGTTTTTGCGGCTTGATGTTTTTTTCTTCAAAAATTATGTTGGGGAATTGGGTGTCTGCATGGTGGCGTGGTCAAGCAATTTGACTCAGACTCATGTCACTGAAGGTAATTGGTTCATTTTACACCTACATCGTTTAGTTCATCAGTGTGCAGTGTTTACGGAAAACCCAGGGGGTGGGGGTTGTGGCCAGAGCTGCGGAGTTCATTCTTTATTTGCTGCTCTCATAAGGTGGTTAGTTAGCCATTCTGCGGTCAGAGGTGGAGCAGTATGGAATCAGCATGGTGCAATGACATTGACCCTCTTGACCTTTGACCTTTAACCTTTGTTCTATTTTTATGTTTGTTGCATCACAGATGTGTACTCGGCCACACATGGGAAAGTGGCTGCAGTGTCTGGCCATGGATGAGGAGAATTACTGGCTGGTAAGAGATGCTCTTGGCTTTTGAGACAGTTTAATGGGGGGCTTATTGTAAAGACTTGCTTCAACCGTGCAGAGGCTAAACCGCATAAATAACTTGTGGCGTAGCACCTGTAAGCAAGTTGTAGTGAAAATTTTGTGATCATGCACCTTACCTGTGACATCTTATGGATGCCAGTCGTGGATTCTCACTGAGTCTTTAACCCTACCAGACCTGAGGCCCTGAACCTAACTGCCCTCTATACCTGCGCTCCTGGGCATTAACATGAAAAAGACCAATATGACACACACAAATATTAGTTACATGCAAACAAGTGGTTAGAATAAGTTTAAACTTGGAGACATTGTAGAAAATAGGTTTACCTTTTATCTAGCACCAATATTCTATCTTGTAAGTGCCAATCCAGCCAGCAGGCTTAGCCTTCTTTCACAAAGTGAGCACCTGATGTTGCTGTGTGAGGGACACGCCCCCTTCTCTTACTATCCGGAAAAGCGGTACAGCGGTCTGGTAGAGTTAAACATGAGAATCTGAGCTTTTGAACTGAAATACTGCAGAGAGCTTCTTAGAATAGCATTTTAATTCTCACAGTTTTATCAAGATATGCTAATTTGTTTTCACTATAATCGTTCTTATATTATTTATTTTGTTTTTATCAGAGGCGTCTAGTTGTTATGTGTGCATACTCTCCCCTTTGGGTTTGGGTGCTAAGTTTTGGAGAACAAAGAATAGACCCACTGCCTCCCTGACATGCATGTCCTATGAGGACGGAGCTTTCCGCCAGAGTTGTTTACAGCTGGTGAACACTAAGAAGAAGGTTTATACTGATGTTTCCAACCTGGGGCGAGGGAGGGGGGTCTGTCCAAAAATAGACTTGCCCAGAGTTTATGTTACATGGGAGGGGGGGTCAGTCCAAAATGGACTCGCCCAGAGTTTATGTTACGTGGGGGGTCAGTCCAAAAATGGACTGGCCCAGAGTTTATGTTACATGGGGAAGGGGGAGCGGGGCATAAAAATTGTTGAAAGGCTTAGGTGGGGCTTGGCACAAAAAAGGTTGAGAAACACTGGTTTAGACTCTTAGTTATCAGTTAAACTTGAACAGCCGTATGGTGGTTTCTACAAACAGTTATGTTTTTTTTTCTTGTTCACAAGCTGTTAGGCGGAGGCCCAACTTTAGCAGCCTGGCATCTGAAAACATTGACACCTGCGGTGACCTTTGACACACCTGGGGTAGCACAGAACGTGACCATGTTTTACGAGGACAAGGTAGGTAGGCATGCTCCTGTGAGCTGTGTAGAAGCTAGTTTGAGTCTTAGTTCCCTTTATGCGTTTCAGGGCCCTGTTATAGAGAAAACAAGAATAGACCCACTGCCTGCCCAAAAGCATGTCGTAAGAGTCGACTAACTGGGAACTTCCTTCAAAGTCGGAGTGCATCTGCCTGAGAGGCAAGGAACCAGCAGTCTGCAAACAAATGAGTCAGATCTGTAAAACGGATGCACCTGCAACACTCAGAGGTTCTGGAACAGGACTGCAGTCCAAAAGTGGATGAACAACCAGAACTTTCAGCTGGTGACTGCGAAGAAGAAGTAGAATCATAGCAAGTGTAGGACAATACAGTGTGTTGTTTTGAAGCAGAGTGAGAAAAATGCATTCAGAAAGATGTTTGTAAGTTATCAGTTAAGAACCGACATCATAGCACTCGAGACGTTCCCATGAGTGCTCTGTCCACATCTTCAGCAGCAACCGCAGAGATCTCATCCTGATGTTGCCAGTAACAGACTGATTGTATATCCCTCTTGTTTCTCCCATGTTGAGGTTGGCCATGTTTGTAAAGTGCATGGCTTGGTTTACATTAACAGTTTCATCTTTTCATTGATCAGCTTAGTATTATTCTTCTTTGCTTTTTTTTTAAACTTCTTCTTGTTTGCTGAAATTAGATGTGTTGGATCAGAAGGTTCAGATATCATAGCCTAACTGTAAACCACACTACAGCATAAAAGATCCTTTTCCATGTCTCCAAGCTTATTGGACCTACAGAGCTAGACCTATAATTTACTGACCAGTTGGCACTGTGTGGGTGATATGGTCAGAATCATGTCAGCCACCTTTACTTCCCAGAATTGTATCAGGTTCCCATTTAAGGCTGGGTCGACCTGGGAGTCAAGGTTATTTTTGAAAAAATTCCAGTTTAATTCGTATTTGAGCCCGCACCCTTCGAATCCACAGGCAAGAATCTAGCCTCTAGACCAGTGGCTCTCAACCTTCATAATGCCACGATCCTTTAATACAGTTCCTCATGTGTTGGCGACCCTTTAATACAGTTCCTCATGTTGTGGTGACCCTTTGATACAGTTCCTCATGTTGTAGCGACCCTTTGATACAGTTCCTCATGTTGTGGTGACCTTTTGATACAGTTCCTCATGTTGTGGCGACCCTTTGATACAGTTCCTCATGTTGTGGTGACCTTTTGATACAGTTCCTCATGTCGTGGCGACCCTTTTATACAGTTCCTTGTCTTGTGGCGACCCTTTTATACAGTTCCTCATGCTGTGGCGACCCCCAACCATACAGTTATTTTTGTTACTACTTCATAACGTCAACGAATATTTGTTTTGTGAAGGTCTTCGGCGACCCATGTGAAAGGGTCTTTTGATCCCAAAAAAGGGTCGTGAACTACAGGTTGAGAACTGCTGGTCTAGACCCAGGGAACAACACAACCCAGCAATCTACAAATGCTAAAGAAGTAGACGTTTATTGGTTTGAGTGACACATCATTTATTTGATTGTTATTTCTTGTCATAAATCGCATGTCTGATTTTGTGTCTGAAATATGTCCAATTCTGTGACGTGGTAGACCTAACCTCTTGACTTTGCTCGGCAGATATTTTCAGCCGGCTCCAGCAATGTTTTGAACCATTGGTCAATCACCGGTGAGCACAAAATGGGAGTACCCGTCAGCCCTGTGTCTGTCTACAGCATCGGGATCAACTCAGCCTCAAAGTCTAATAAGGTAAGGGATCAAGACAGCCTCAAAGTCTTATAAGGGAAGGATCAAGACAGCCTCAAAGTCTTATAAGGGAATGGATCAAGACAGCCTCAAAGTCTTATAAGAGAAGGGATCAACTCAGCCTCAAAGTCTAATAAGGAAAGGGATCAACTCAGCCTCAAAGTCTGATGAAGTGTTGTAATCATGTGTGTGTTCTAGGGTCCTATTGGGGCTGGGGGAGGGGGGGGGGGACAAAAAAGACCCACTTCATACACACACTCTCCCTCCCTCTTCTCTATACACACACACACACACACACACACACACAAGCATGCCGTGAAAAATTTGATAATTAGGGGTGTTTCATTCTTGCATCTGCCTGCAAGGCGAGGAACCAGCCGAGTCCACATGAATAAGCCAGATCTGTAGCAGGTGTGGATGCAGAACTCAATTTCTAGAACAAGATTAAAGTCCAGAAGTGGGTGAACAACCAAAACTTTCTGGCTGGAAGAAGAAGACAGATTCTGGCTGGAAAGATTCTTGTTTTTGAAAATTTTATTCTGATGATTAAATAAGTAAAGAAAATTTACATCTGATTCTTTGAGATCAAAGATGTTGGAAATACATGGTGTAGATTTGTTGCTATAAAGATTTCTTGTGTAGCATATTCAACTGTAGCTATAGAAAATTACTTGTGGTTTTGAAAATTTTATTTTAGGCAATAACTCTTTGAGTCCCACAGAACGTATCATATGTTCGTAGATTCCAATCTAGAGGCCCAATGATTTTACCTCTTTCTTGACTTACCACATGGGCCTCTGATGCTAAACCCCCTGGGTCTCAAAGAGTTAAAGAAAGTTTTACTTCTGATTATTTGAGATCAAAGATGTTGGAAATGCATGCTGTAGATTTGTTGCTACAAAGATTTCTTGCGTAGGATATTAAACTGTAGCTATAGAAAATTTTTTATGGTTTTGAAAATTTTATTTTGGTCATTAAAGAAAGTTTTACTTTTGATTATTTGAGATCAGATATGTTAAAAATGCACGCTGTATATTTGAAGCTGCCAAAATTTCTTGTGTAGGATATTAAACTATAGCTAAAGAAAATTACTTTTGGTTTTGAATACGGACTTCCTGGCAAAGTGAGAATTATCTGGAAACTTGACTCTCTTGATGTGCTGTTGCAGGTGATGGTCGTTGCTGGCAGCTGTGAGAAACTGGACGTCTGCACCAACTTTGGATATAGGGCCTTCTCTCTCACATTCTTGCCTCCACTTGCATAAGTGTCAGTTCGTGTATGCCTCAGAGACTGTGTGTGGGGAAGTGTTTAGGGAGTTGATTTTGCTTTTTGGATTGGTCTGGTATTGTTTTGTTTTTTATACGGTTGGCTATTTGTATTCGTGCATCTTTGTGGAGTCACTGTTGGTATGGATGCATCTTTGTTGGGTGACTATTGGTATTGGTGCATCTTTGTTGGATGACTTTTGGTATGGGTACATCTTTGTTGAATGACTATTGGTGTGAGTGCATCTTTCTTGGATGACTTAGTATGGGTGCATCTTTGTTGGATGACTATTGGTATGGGTGCATCTTTGTTGGATGACTATTGGTATGAGTGCATCTTTGTTGGGTGACTATTCATATAGGTGCATCTTTGTTGGATGACTATTGGTTTAGGTGCATCTTTGTTGGGTGACTAGGTATGACTGCATCTTTGTTGGATGACTATTGGTATGGGTGCATCTTTGTTGGGTGACTATTGGTATGGTTGCATCTTTGTTGGATGACTATTGGTATGGGTGCATCTTTGTTGGGTGACTTCGTTTCGGTGCATCTTTGTTGGATGACTATTGGTATGGGTGCATCTTTGTTGGGTGACTTGGTATGGGTGCATCTTTGTTTGATGACTATTGGTATGGGTGCATCTTTGTTGGATGACTATTGGTATGGGTGCATCTTTGTTGGGTGACTATTGGTATGGGTGCATCTTTGTTGGGTGACTATTGGTATGGGTGCATCTTTGTTGGGTGACTTGGTATGGGTGCATCTTTGTTTGATGACTATTGGTATGGGTGCATCTTTGTTGGATGACTATTGGTATGGGTGCATCTTTGTTGGGTGACTTGGTATGGGTGCATCTTTGTTGGATGACTATTGGTAGGGGTACATCTTTGTTGGATGACTATTGGTATGGGTGCATCTTTGTTGGGTGACTATTGGTATGGTTGCATCTTTGTTGGATGACTATTGGTAGGGGTGCATCTTTGTTGGATGACTATTGGTATGGGTGCATCTTTGTTGGGTGACTTTGGTATGGGTGCATCTTTGTTGGATGACTATTGGTATGGGTGCATCTTTGTTGGATGACTATTGGTATGGGTGCATCTTTGTTGGGTGACTTGGTATGGGTGCCTCTTTGTTGGATGACTTGGTTTGGGTGCATCTTTGTTGGATGACTATTGGTATGGGTGCATCTTTGTTGGATGACTATTGGTATGGGTGCATCTTTGTTTGATGACTATTGGTATGGGTGCATCTTGGTTGGGTGACTTGGTATGGGTGCATCTTTGTTGGATGACTATTGTTATTGGTGCACCTTTGTTGAATGACTATTGGTATGGGTGCCTCTTTGTTGGATGACTATTGGTTTGGGTGCATCTTTGTTAGATGACTATTAGTATGGGTGCATATTTGTTGGATGACTAAGCCACGATCCTTTAATACAGTTCCTCATGTTGTGGCGACCCTTTTATTCAGTTCCTCATGTTGTGGCGACCCTTTTATTCAGTTCCTCATGTTGTGGCGACCCTTTCATACAGTTCCTCATGTTGTGGCGACCCCATGGGTGCATCTTTGTTGGATGACTACTGGCATGGGTGCATTTTTGTTAGATGACTGTGGACTTATCTTTGCTAGGTAACTATTGTGTAGATGCACCTTTGTTTGTTGACTATTTGTGCAGGTGCAGCTGTGTTGGGTGACTGTTTGTATGGGTGTGAATTTAGTGAGTGACTTTTTGTAGGTGTTCATTTTGGTTGAGTAACTATTTGTATGAGTGTCCTTTTGTGGGATATATATTTGTATGGATGTGAATTTAGTGAGTGACCTTTTGTAGGTGTTTATTTTGGTTGAGTAACTATTTGTGTGAGTGTCCTTTTGTGGGATAAAGATTTGTATGGGTGTGAATTTGGTGAGTGACCTTTTGTAGGTGTTCATTTTGGTTGAGTAACTATGTGTATGAGTGTCCTTTTGTGGGATAAATATTTGTATGGATGTGTGATTGGTTTGTGCTGGTTGTATGTATGTAGTTGTGGAAAAAAGAAAAAGAAAGGATTATTCTTTGTATGATTTCATATGCTTTTGCTGACAAATAAACTTGAAATGAAACAACTTTCAGTGACTCTTTTGACATCTTTTTTAATCATTTGAAAATTTGTATAAAAACAGTTTAATTGTATACATAACGAAACAATTAAAAATATTGCAAACATTCACAATTGCATCTAATAAAATACTAAAACATCACTCTTTGTACATCCTTGAAAATTTAATATAAATGTGGAAGACAGATTGTACTGTCTGAAGGTAACTAGATATTAGTATACAAATAAAAAAATAGTTGGCACACATTTGGAGATCAAATACTCATGTTGAAGACAGATTATTCTGTCTAAAGCTAACATTTACCTAGTAAAAAACAGTTGGCACACATTTGGAGATCAAATAAACATGTTGAAGACAGATTTTTCTGTCTGAACATAACTAGTTCCTGGTATAAAATTCAGTTGGCACATATATGGAGATCAAATAAACATGATAAAGACATGTCCCTTGCTTTTTTGTCTGTTTACTTCTCTGTATACCTTCCATCCTCTTGCTCTGCTTTTTTTTTCTTTATTTGGTTCTCTCCCTCTGTCTGTCTGCCTCTCTATACTGCCCCTCTGTCTCTCTCTCCTTTTTGTCTACTTCTCTCTCCTTGCATCTCCCGCTCTGCTTTGTCTCTTCTCTCTCCCTCTCTGTCGCCTTACCTCTCTCTTTTTTTCTGATATCTTTTACCTTTCCCTCGTCTCTTCATCTACCCGTCTGCCTGTGCCACTTTCTGTAATTGTCTCGCTCTTTCTCTACCGCTCTCCCTCATCACCTATTTCCATCCCTCCTCCTTGTCTTTATGGCGCCCTCTGTCTCTCCTTCATGTATCAGACTTAAAGCAGATGGCATGTGTATGTGCAAATAAAGTACCACATATGCCTGGTACACCATTAAACAAGGCAAAAATACCTTAGAAATACCCTTGAAACAAAAGTTGGTGAATTTACCTATGAACCCTGTTTTATACAATTCACCTCTGCAACTTCCACTTCATTTTTCACCAGTTAGCTCATTGTCCTTTATCCTCATCTGGGAATTAGGATTGCCTCTACACAACTCTTAAGAACTCTTGTTCTAAACTCAGTTGACAAAGATAAACAATATTCAAAAACAGACTTTCATAACTCGTGCAGTTAGTATTTTTGCTAAAGATCACACAAAAACTATTATCAGTTTTCTAATAAGGGCATATCTTGCTGCGGCCAAATATAGCCAACAAATAAGAATTCATAAACATGTCACATGGGTCGACATAAGCCAATTGTCTTTGCTCTTGGAACTGTGGGAGGAGTTGGCCGTAGGTCTGATGAATGATGTCAATGATCCCGGGTATGTTGTCATGACGCTTTCCCCAGTGAGGTCGGACTTTCTCGTTTTTAAATTGGTTGGCAAACTAAAGAGAAAAAAAGTAATTGAGTGTTCACATTTTACCAGACAAACACAAGTGAACTTAATAAAAGCTTATAAATATCATGACAGTTATTAGTACGTGTATTTACCATAAGATCAAAAGTCTGTCTACTCTATAGCTTAGGGAATTGCAAACGAGGTTTGTAATTCTGAAGTACCCAGTTTGTTTTCAGCTGTGAGTGATTTGGCAGCAGAATATGTAGTGTTGATAGATTGAGTGTCGACTATCATTGTAAAAAAAAAGGGGGGGGGGGGGGGGGTGTGGGGGTTGCTAATCTTGCAGTCTTAGAAAATAGAAGTATTGGACTCTTTTCCACGTCTTTAGACGAATCGGGCATATAAGGCTAGACCTAAGTTTTATCGACCAATCAGGATATGGTGGATGATGTGGTCATCATCACGCCGGCCACTTTTACTTCCCAGGACTGCACTTGGTACTCTTGGTTATTTCAGAATAAAGTCAGGATCCCAACCCACGATCTTGATATTCTGATCCGCAGGCGAGGGGCTAACTGCTACACCACGACGACTCCCATCTTGCAGTAGTACAGCAACCCTTTGTCGAGAACAGCATACAAGTGTACCGCCTTCAGAGAGCCAGGCGAGCCTAATGTCTGATCCACACACACAAAATCGACATACACGGTCTCTTAAAAATGTATCCGCTTAATGGTTGAGAAGGAAGTTAGCAGCGCCCTCTCTGTGTCCAACAGCAGCAAAATGATTCCGGTAACACAAGTTTTCAAGTGGCTGGAATCACTGGACTATCCCACGTGTGAGTCGAGGCAGTTAACTTCATCGTCGCCCTAGATTACTCAAGTGTTGTTGGCAATGAAAATGCTGCTGGCTTGGCCAATTCTGCCATAGTTTTTCAGATGGCCAGCCTATTTAGTGCCTACATTTCTAATACCTGTACAGAGATCGAAGGAATTTGGGGATCCATAGTTTGAAGTTTGAACAACGGATCAACATCATGGCACACGTGTAGTATAGTAACATAAGTGCTCCGTTCTTCTTTTAACTCATATCTGAGTCCGAAGAAGCTCAGCATAGTGCACAGGCTCTGTAGCACCGGCGAGGATCCTGAAATACTTTGGGTAGATTTATAACTCCAAATTTTGCCCGGGCAGCGCGTTAGACCACTCTTTTCGATTTCCTACTGCCAGAGGATTTACGTACGCAACAATGCATACGGGCTCAGATCTCACTACCCAGAGACCTGAGGGAATTACTAAAAGTCTAAATCCATGTGAAAAAATTCCCAACCCTTATCGGGGATTGAACCCAGAACCTCTAGCACTCGAGGCGGACACCATGCCCCGAGACCACGCAGCCCCGTCAGCGTGTCTATATCCCTACTAAGAATGCGAGAATAGGGAGTAAAGATCGACGCGAGAGGCACACCGGATTTACAAGAAGGCTTGTTAACCAGAAAGGACTAGCACTTTAAGCCGTGAAACTCTGACGTGTATACTAAACGGGGAATCTGAACATCTATAGACGTGTCTGGAATCCCATAAAGATAACACAACTCAATCACATCCCTAACTTGTTAAAGAAATGCTTGACAGGGTTACCGGGAAATAGGTTAAACTACCTAATGCCAGTGGCTTATGCGTTTGCGAGTCCGACTGTAATTCCAACGTACCGCGATCGAAACCTACTGCTGGCTGTGTGGATTTTTTTTTTGTTTTTTTGTTATCGTGGTATGGGGCGTCGCAGGTCGACCCAGCCTAAAATGGGCACCAGGATGGCTGTTCTAGGAAAGTAAAGACGGCCGGCGTAATGCTGACCACATTACCCACCTTGTGTCGATAGTCTGTAAAAAAAAATGTAAGCGCTCTTCCTATATGCCCGATACCCCTAAAGGTGTGAAAAGGAGATCTTTATTTTTAACTTTTTTAACTTAATGTTCCATACTTACATCAGCAGCAGCCGGGTAGAAGCCTTCTTGTGTGGGCGGGGCCAGGAAATCAATCACCATGGTCCTCCCACTGTCGTTAGGCCTGGTGATCTCATTGTTACTGTAGCACAGATAGCAATCGCTGTTCTTGAAGAATCGAGGCAGGAAAGCGTTGAGGGGAGTGCTGCCCTTCTCTCGGATCTGCTGCTCGGTTCTGTTCACCATGAACTGGATTGGGATATACAAAATCATTGTTCACGTTAATCATCATCATCATAATCATCATAATCCTGTGACAGACAAACTTGAGGTGATTGGATAACGTATCGATTGTGTAAAAGCCGAAGAAGGAGTTAACATACGGATTGTCTGTGACCGAAACTGAAGAAGTTAATGTAATGGCATTTTTTGTAAGGGAAACCGAAGAGGTTAAAATAATGACTGTCTGTCATGGAAACTAAAGGATCTAAAGTTATGACCATGATTTTTAAAAAAAAGTTAAAATAATCATTGTCTAGGACTTCTTCTTCTTCTTCTTCTTCTTCTTCTTCTTCTTCTTCTTCTTCTTCTTCTTCTTCTTCTTCTTCTTCTTCTTCTTCTTCTTCTTCTTCTTCTTCTTCTTCTTTTTCTTTTCTTCGTTGGTCTCAAAGAGGGCGGATGAAACTTTGTGTTGGGATTTCTATCTACTCTACGATATCTGCGCAGTTCAGCCCAGCGTATTGGATTTTTGAAAATCGTTAAATACTCACCTTCTATGACCAGCGTGTGGGTCTGTTCTCTATTCCCCCCACCCCCCACCACCAGCCCCCATTTTTCCGTAATACCCTGGATCCAGAGTGTGACCGAAACTCCAGGAGTTAATGTAATGATAGCCAGTGTCGGAAGGGTTAAAGTAATACTTTTCTACACTGCCGGATTTAGGCATAAGCTAAGTTAGCCACAGCTTAGTGCATCACAGTCTATAGGGACCTCACAATACGCAGGGGCCTCAAATAATTCATATTTGTTCAAAATACAATTTTCTTTTAATTTATATGTGAGAACGAGGGAATTCCACACACAAGCATTGTTAACGTTAATCATCATCATGTGACAGACAATCTTGAGAACGAGGATTCCTCTCAAAAACAATACTGCAGGGCTCAGTGGAGGGAAAGAGGAGAAGAGGCAGACAAAGAAAGACCTGGTTACAGAACCTGACTGACTGGACAGGCATCAGGCATGCAACCATGAAGTCCATCGCAACTGACTGCCAAAGGTGGGAGAGAGCTGATTAGACAGTCAACAGAAACTGGTGACCCAACGATATGTAGTGTTACAGGATGATGATGATGATGATGTAATCTCAGGCTTTTACGAGAATCCAGCAAGCCAACGATGTCACGTACCAACTTGCTCCAGTTTAAAAACACCCTGCTATCCCAATAGAGACAGGAAGACAAATTATATATACACTATTTATACCGGCTTGAGGTTACTAATGTCAGACTTGGACATTGACAAAAGAACACGAGACAAAACTAACCACCTGTGAGATGAGATGTTTGAGAACGGCTGTGAATAAAACCGGAAGAGATCGAGTGAGAAACGACGTGATCACAAAAACTGTTGGAACAACACCCATCGTCAAATTTATTGAGAAACAAAGAATGAAATGTTTTAGCCATTTAATGAAAATGAAACCAACGATGCCAGCAGCAATAGGGTACAACCTGAAAATCGAAACACAAAGAGGCAGGGGAAGACCGAGAGGAATATGGATTGAGGGAGGCATTGACACCTTGAGACCTCATAACATCCCGGCATATCAAGCGAATGAGCGCGCCCTGGCTCGACTGCCGATCGTCCGATGAACTGCGACGCCTAGTGGCATAAGTAGATACTGACACAAGAAAGAATCTCAGAATTGTTTTAACTTGTTGCAGCCCATTTAAATTGATTTTTAAAAAATCAGCCTAATAATATACGTCAACTTCCACCTTTTATGATATATTTGTAAGTTTTGGTGAGATTAACTTAGATCGTCTAAAATGATAGGGCCTCGGGACTTTAAATGGCCTAGGGCTTTCATCATGTCTAAATCTGGTCCTGCTTGTCGCTGACATTGTTCGTTGTTCATTGTTCTTTTTTTGAAATCATCTTCATCCGCACATCGAATATGACCGTAAGTGCTCCGATCACCACTTGAGTATGTCTCCAAGTCTGTGACAATAGTGAAGGATGTCGTTTGCTGCAAAAGTTACCGCGTGTGTGAGTACTCTCATCCCTTCATGGAGATACTGTTAGCGTGTGTCAGACGTAGATTCCAATCTTGTGGCTGAAGATTTCAGTTTTTCTGTGTCTGGTGTCTCCTGTGATCGATACTTCTTTGTTTTGCTTGTGCAAGCATCGATCGATCAGTATCTTTAAGTGTCGTCTCCACAAGTGAGGTCGGCTGTAATGATTTTTTAACAACCTCCCACCCCCCCCCCCCCCCCCCCCCCCTCCGCCATATGGGGAAAACATCAGTGTTAAGTCGCGGTAGCGACGAGGTTAAACGCTTGCATTTTGGTTCGAAGGATGTGGGTTTAAATTCACATCAGGACATATTTCTTTTTTAAATTTTCATAATTGGTTTTTGCTTCCAGTTCGGGCCAGTCTAAAGTGGGTTCAAGGACATTTACCGGGTAGTAAAAGCGGCGTAGATATGGTTTTATAGATGAATGATGAGAACAACTTTGACAGTGTAACATCGGTCGGATGAGTCTATAATTACCAATCGGGTGAAGCAAGGATGTCTATATGCTCCTACCCTCTTTGAAATATACTTTTCATTTCTTTCGAAACATGTCTTTTAAGATCCGGTGGGTGATATATTTATCCAGTCTCCATCTGACGGCAGCCTTAACAGTGCTCGCAGGCTGAAGGCCAAAACCAGGATAAGAAAGGTACTTATCAGAGAGATGCTGTTTGTAGATGATGCAGAAATAACCATTCACTCAGAGAAAGAGTTGCAACGTTTACTATCTGCATTTGCTGATGCATGCTGTGAATTTGGGCTAACAATCATAAAAAACAAGGTGTTAAAGATACACCTGAAATCTATATTGATGGTGAAGAGCTGGAGACAGTTGACCATTTTACCTATCTGGGATCCACAGGGAATAACAATTTAACAATAACAATAAAATAACAATTTAAAAAAAAAAAAAACAGTCTGGGAGAACAGAAAGCTCAAGATTTAAAAAAAAATGAACTCGTGTCTATTAGGCTTGTGTTCTCGGCACAGTTCTTTATGGCAGTGAAACCTGGTCAAATTATCGCACCAGAAGTGAAGGCTAAATAGCTTTCACATGCGAGCCTAAGAAGAATATCTGGCATTCAGTGGCAGGACAAGATCACAAACACTGAGGTACTGGAAAGAACAGGTATCACAACGTTTTATCCATGCTCAGTGTACGAAGGCTCAGGTGGCTTGGTCATACCTGGAGAATGGAGGATGGCAGAGTCCTGAGGAAATTCTCTATGCTGAATTGAAGACGGGTAGAAGATGTCGAAGCCGACCTCTATTACGATATAAAGATGTTGGCTTGTTAGCGGAAAAGAGAAGAAGAGGAAGACCCAAAAGAACATAATGTGGCTGAATGTTCAGGCTTCTTGTTATAGGGAAAACAAGAACAGACCCACTGCCTACTTAAAGCATGTCGTAAGAGTCGACAAATTGGGAGCTTCCTTCGAAGTCGGAGTCCATCGGCCTGAGAGGCAAGGAACCAGCAGTCTGCATACACATAAATCAAATCTGCAAAACGGATGCACACGTAACATTCAGGTTCTGAAACAGGACTGCAGTCCAGAAGTGGATGAACAACCAGAATGTTTCGCAAGAGTTTACAGCTGGTGAACACGAAGAAGAAGAAGAATCATAAATATCAGATGCACAGACCAAAAAGAAAACTTGTCAGACTGTTTACTACAACTGCTGACCCAACGCGTCATTTGGTGTTATGAGACAATGGTGGTGATGATATTAGTGATAAAAATGACGACGATAATGATGATAACTATGTAAGAAATGCAGAAACAACTACATACATTGAGAGCTCTGTAGGGAGTATCAAAATCATTGTCGATGTTGAGCAGAAAGGCGGCACTGGTCTCAGTTCCCCATCTTGGCGGGAAAATCACGGAAATGCGTTGACAAGGTAATGATAGGTCTTTGGTTTCAGAGCCCGCGCGATGTCCAAGGAAGACTGTGGATGCACATGTTTAACAGTTACAAATTACAATCATGTCATTTACATAAAATTGTAGGTGTGCGGGGTAATAAAAGAGCGGATTTTCTGACGACAAAAGCGATAGCTACGTAACACTTGTTCTGGACTAGGAAGATATTCTGAAGACCATGTATGAACGAATGTTGACAGAAGACACGAGATTAGATTAAATAGCACGTGTAAGAACGAGTAATTAGAAGTGAACCCGGCAAGGAGGGACATACAAGAGGAACAGAACGACGTGTGTATAATCAGCTTGCTACTTGAGCAGTTGGCATCTACACCTTAAGATATTTCTCCAGGCTATGCTGGTAATTAACAGGCAGACAGATTGGCTGGATCTGCACCACTCGTTGGTGAATTGATACATGACAAGGCAGATGTGGTCAACGCCCTATGGGAATAACCAACGGAATCAGTAGAGAAAGAAGATTATTATGGGCTGGAAAGAATGAGGCACTTGGGTGTATCCTGAGGGTCTGGCCGGCTCACTACACTCAGAGAAAAGGCAAGACGGACATATAACCAGATTGTGACTGGTACCATCAGTATTGGAACTCTGCGCTGACTGCAGAAGATGAGGACGTAGCCTGCATGGGAAGGCCCCGTGCTGTTATGTCAATTTTTGACTCAACTAAACTCAGCCTTAAAACATTTGAGGCAGGAGATGGAGCATCTATGGATACGCTCGGTGTGCTATGATGATGATTCTCAAATCAGCAATCTGCTCAACCAGTCTCAGTAATTTATTTTAGTTGTTTGTGATTTTTCTAACACATTAAGCGTTGAGTAGTTTGCGATGCAGATAGTTCAAATAAGAACAATTACTTTTGTTGTTGTTGTTGTTCACTCTGATAATCATGTCAATCAATCACCATCATTATCATCGAGCGCTGTGCCGACTGCCGGGGCGATTATGCTTCTCCACAACCTGCTGTCAGTAACACATTCATCGGCTAGTATTTTAACAACCTTACATGATATCACAAATGGAGGTAAACAATCTTCTCTCGCTGTCTTCCTCTGTCTCTCTTCCTAGAAATCTTGTCTCGTGTTCGCAACATGTTCCAGTTTCTTTCTTCTAATGACATGGCAAAATATGATGTCGGTCTCTGTCTGGTGTCTGTGATTAACTGTCTCCATTTCTAAGATATCGATTGCCATACTGAAAGTTGTTTATATTCATAGCTTAGCCTGGAGTGGTTCTTTTCAGTAGCTATGCATTTCGTTTTTGTGTTCCCCCTTTGACATGACTTACTTTAGCTTTCAGCAACCCCTTGCCACTGCCACCAGACAGTGAACCGTTTGTTGGCAGATACACGGGTGGTAGAATCTCTTGTCCTACCACTTCCTCATCTGTAGCCCTGTTGATATGTCTGAGGAAACAGGAATGTGCAGTCATAAATAAGGATAGTATACAATGATACTTGACACATGAAAGGCGTGGAAAAAGGTCCTTTTACTTTTAATTTTAAAGATGCATTTGAAGCGTTTGGTATACACTGTTGTGATCGATTAGACCATTAAGCTTCCATTTGAGAAGTGCTATAATGAAATTTGTTTTAAATAATGAAATTGCATGTTTGTAAAAGCAGCGTCCGTGGCTTAGGCGTTGCGAGTCCGGCTCGTAATTCCAACGTAAGGCGATCGAAACCCACTGCTGGCTGCGTGGATTTTATCATGGTACGGGCATCGCAGGTAGACCCAGCCTATAATGGGTACCAGTATGGATGTCCTGGGGAAGTAAAGACGGCCGGCGTAATACTGACCACATTACCAGCCAAGTACCGATTGGTCTGTAAAAATATAGGCGCTCTTCTCATATGCCGGATGCGCCAAAAGGCGTGAAAATGAATCTTTACCTTACTTTGTTTGTAGAAGCTTTTTTGTCTTTCTGTGCCCTTTTTAAAGTTGAATATTTGTGATTTTCATCTTTTTTTTTTTGTGTGTGTACAAGTTGTATTTAACGAAATTACATTTTCATGAAAGTTGTTTTAATATCATGTATGTGTGTTTATGTGTATGTGTGTGTGTGCGCATGAAGTTGATTGTGTGCGTCTCTCTTTGTTTTTTTTAAACTGTTATTTGTGAATTTTTGTTTGTAGATATCATGTTTTATTTATCGTTTTGTGTGTGAAGTTGTGTTTTTAATAGTATTCTATATAAATCGTTTACTGCCTGACGTTTTACCCCACCATTACATCCACCAAGCGATAAACACCCGGTGACACAAAGTGTCACCATTCGGATAAGGATCACCCGGCGACAGGTACTAGAAACCCTGTTCACCATATATGTTAGGTTATATTAGGGCCCCCGGCAACAGCCAGGGTGGGGCTTTGAAATAACGAAAAATTACTTCCCACATTGGGAAGAATTTTGTATATAAAAATAAAGCCAGTCTCACATGTTATTCTAAGAACAACAAAGGAAGTGGTTTGGGCACCTAACACGAATGCCCTGGTACTATCTGCCACAGCAAGCCACACTAAAACGTTACAACGGGCATAGAGCGAGCGGAAGACCTCGGAAAATAAGGAGGGATGGCATTAGGAACAGCCTTACAGAAATGAACATCAGTCGTAATAGTGCTCTTGACAGAGCTCACCAACGAATGTTACATCTTAACCACCCCCCCCCCCCCCTTCTCGGACACTTCGCTGAGGTACACGGTGGAGGAGAAGAAGAAGAAGAGGTAGAAGCAGAAGGTTAACATTCATAAATGCATCATTCTGTCCGCACTGTAATGATATATACTTATCGAAAGTATTTTTAACTTCCCTTTCGCTATCTTATCTTGAGTTTAAGAAACAAGCATTAGAAATGCGATGTTTCAGAAAATTTCTTGGCATATCATACAGAGACCACATTACAAACGAAAAGGTTAGCCATAAAATTATATAGCACATTTGCAACTATGAACCTGTTTTAAATACAGTGAAAATGTCGACAAAATGTGATTGTTATGGACACGTAAGAAGATCTAACGACCTCTCAAAAACAGTACTGCAGGGCTCAGTAGAGGGTAAGAGGAGAAGAGGTGGACCAAAGAAAGACATGGTTACAGAACCTGACTGACTAGACAGCCTCAAGTAACCATGAAGTCCTATCGCAACTGACCGCTAAAGTGGTGGAGAGAGCTGACCAGACAGACAGTCAACAGAAACTGGTGACCCAACGACACGTAGTGTTACGTAATGGGATGATGATTGATGATGATGATCTGAGTTTGAATGGTAATTTAGCTCTTACCTGAGCCAGATGTAGTCATTGGCAGCACTCCATGTTGATTGTGCTTTCCCAGTTGTGTTGTAGTAACTCTCTTCATCGGGGGTCAAATTGTTGAAGGGAAACCACGACAGTTCCGTGAGGAAATTTTTACTGATTGTCTCTCTTAGTGCTGTCTGATTCATAATGATATCTTTCAGTAGAACAAAATGGTTTTCAGCTTTTGCTATGAACGTCGGGACTACCTGAAAATAAACATCATCATCATTATTATCATAATTATCAACTCTCGTTATGCCTAGTGGCACATAAGGCTTCAGAGAGGACTTTCTATGCCTTCCTGTCATGTGCAATCTTTAGTGCAGTTTTCCATGTCAGAGATGCCACACTGTGGTCAACTTTAAATAGTTCGTCCTAATTTAGGTTTTTTCGTCGACTGGACTTGTTTTCCCATCATGTGCTTTCTTTCGGCTTTCAGTCATGTTTTCATGCTGACAGAGGCACTCTGTCCCTAGACATCCAGACGTTTAGAGCACATTTCCTCTTGAAGTTTTAGTTACGTAATTTTTTTTTTCCACGGCAGAGCTGTCAACACTGCGCCCAACCCCCGAGCCTGGAGAACCGGGAGGCCATCTTTAGTCTGGCCCCTCACCAATGATCTGTCCGGCTTGGGTGACCCTGCCAGGAAAATAACAAAGTAGTTCGAAATAATTCTTTTTATACCACTAACACTTAGGCTTTGCGAACGCGCTTCGTAATGCCGGGGTACCGCGTTTGATCCCAGCTGCGGACGATTGGTCTTACACTAGTTTCGATAGTGGTACTGAGAGCTAACCGTCCAGAAAGCAATGACAAACTACTGAACGTAACATTTGCCTAGAAAAACCGCAAGAGCTAAAACATGCTGGGGTTGTTTTGCAACGTCCTGTAAAGGATACGCAACTAACTATACTATCAACTTGGAACGATATATAAGTGCATTCGAAAACAAACGCCTAAGGAAAGTGTTTTACATTCTTCTTCTTTTCTTTACTCGTGGAATGTTTCGCGGCGTGATGGCAGAAAGAGATCTCTAGAACGGGCCCTTCTGTTCGCTTCGTATAAAATACTTTTCAATGTCTCTTGATATTTCAGCGGTCCTATCTACTGCCTGCTCGACGTCTGATTGTATCTTTATAACACTGCTCTCTGTGGGGCCCTGTCTTATGCCAGACTTGTTACATGGCCAAACCATTTGATTTGCTGTCTGCTTATAAAGTTCGGTATTGGTTCTGTGGCGACCTCTTCCTCTGATATAATATTCCTAAGCGTTCTTTTCCCATACACAACAAGTTTTGGAAACCCTTTTTTTTCTGTTTGACATTTTTCCCTCTGTCTCTGAAAAAAAGTTCCTTTTAATGGTTTTAAAAGTTAAGTTAGCAGGGTAAATCTGAGAAAGACGAAGGAAAGGGAGAAAAGGCTTAAACAAACGCTGGGATCGACGCTAAAAACGAGAAGACGTGGGTTTTGGAGGGGGGGGGGGGTTAAGAAAAAATGACCCTTAGACCTATACAGCAGACGGATTAGCCATTACATTACGGTCTTAGAAGACATTTAAAATAAACAGGGAACATAAAAACCTGGGGAAACTGCTGAATGGGGGGAGTGGGGGTTGTGGGGGAAAACTTTTTATCGGGGACACAAATGTAATAGCCCCAACTGTCAGGACATGTTTTTGTTGTTTTAGACGAGGGAATGATCAGGATGAAAGATGATGGGTTGATGACGAAGTTTGCGACGGGGAAA